TCGAATCCAATGAGGCTTTCTGCAGCTTGCCTTCATCTATTTTATTTGTAAGCTCAATAATTTGCGCATGGTAAGATGTGATTTGTTGATCAAAGGCAAGACACTGGTCGCGAAGCTCTTGGGTCTTAGTCTCAAACTCGGTAAGTTTTTTCTCACAAGCGTCACTCAGTTCCCATTTTCCCTTCATGTTGTCGAACATTATTTTGAGTTGAAGGTCAATTTCTTGGTGGACCTTGATATCTTTGACAAGTTGACAAAAGAAAGCTTCAAATTCAATAAGAAATTGAGCCAAAGGCTTAGGGATATCTTGTTGAGAAATCTCATCGAGTAGCCTGACTACGACCACTCTCAAGGCATTGTCATTCACGATCATGTCAAGAAAATTGATATCAAATAAGCAATTTCGAAGTTGTTACAGCTTGAGGTTCACAGATGCATTCATTTTAGGAATGGAGGAATCTGACGAGTGTCATACTCCAAATGTGTCCACTCTTATTTCTACAGTCAAAATTATTTTTAACTTGGGCTTTATAAGTTTTTTGGTTTATTTATACTAACATTTAAATATTAGTTTATTTTGTTTATTTAAAAATGTATAATAGTTTACTTAAAATTATTTGTATTTTCTAAATAGAAAACATTCTCCCACCCTTCGTATACTTTCAAGTGGCTTCTTGTACACAAGCAAACTCTATGCGTAACGATCCACGACCTACCACAAGGTATCAATCAAAAGCATACAAGTTTGCATAAATCATTCATTAGGTTAATTCGACCAGAATCAGACCATACCTATCATCTCATTCGTCTAACGAATAACGATAACATGGATCAGGCATTTAACAAGTCCAATCATTCATTAGCATTTCAAAATTTCAACATCCATCGAAACATATCCAATTCACGCATTATATGCATTGGTTAATCATTACATACTACGCATTAATACTTGCATCTACATGCATACATAACATATCATAGACCAAGACTAAGGACCCCCCCCCCCCCCCCCCCCTCCCGCGTAAAACTCCAAAGTCAATTTCAAGGGGAGTCATTATTCTCAATCCAAGTGCAATCTCCAGCTAAGTTAATAACATCTCTTTGATTATCCCTCTTAGTGAGTATGTTGTACAAGCATTCTTCATCAAATTGAATCGTAAGCAGCCTTACGTACGAGCATCCATACGTAAGCAGCCTTATGTAAAAGTTAGGAGCAGCCTCACACTTTCCAATCACCTGATCGACGTCTTCTGGTGACCTTATCAATGTTAGCAATCTTGTTGTTTGTTTCACATTTCCAATCCACCAAGTTGATATTATCCTGGTAACCCTATTGATGTTGGTGTAAATCCTAGTTTTCGTCTGACATGTTTTTTCAAAAGCCCAGTTACCTGCGCATCATTTCAAAAGCCCAGTTCCTAACTGTCATGTCTTTTCAAAAGCCCAGTTCCTGTATAACGCATCATTTCAAAATTCCAGTTCCCGTCTGGTAGTCAGTTCCTGTATGACAGTTCAATGATTTCACCAATTCCTATCTGGTAGTCAGTTCTCGTCTGACACCTTATCTTTAACCCCAATTCTATTCTATTATCCTATCTTAACATCTACAATTCAAATAATATGGGCGTTGCATTTATCGATCATCGCATCATTTCAATTCATAACATTATCATATCAAGCATACATACCATGAATCATGCATACATCAAGCATAATCATATTAATCATGCATACATGCATTATATTCAATCATATATGTCCATGAAAACTGCAGAAAATCAAAAGGCATGTTTACCAGCTAAGACGCACTCAATTTCAAATCCAAGCTAAGCGTTATCCATTCTTCGTACTATCACTATAGCTACCTCGGTTGAGAACAGACACAATCGTCAAAGGTACGACTATCAAAATTTCACTAGGCAGCATACCTACGATTCATATCCAAAGCCTAGTCATCACCAGCCTCCGGGCGTTATGCTTTCAATTATCAAATTTAAAATTTTCAAATTCAAACCTTTCAAACGTTCAACTTCATTTGGTTATCATATTATCAAGCCTTGGTTGAAAACAAACACAATCGACATCATCATCGAAACTTTGATTTCAATCTTCAAACCTAGTATTCTTCATGCTAATCAAGCCTCGGTTGAAAACAGACACAACCGACATCATCATTGAAACTTCAGTTTTAATCCTCAAACCTAGCATTCTTCATGTTAATCAAGCCTTGGTTGAAAACAGACACAACCGACAACATCATCGAAACTTCATTTTCAATCTTCAAACCTAGCATTCTTCATGCTAATCGAGTCTTGGTTGAGAGCAGACACAACCGACGTCGTTATTCTGAGTTCCAAATATCCAGTTTCTAACCTGCATCATTTATCTCCTAGGTTGTGGTAAATACAAAATCTGCAATATAGCTTACTATGTTAGTCTTGAAGTGTTAGTATGTTATTTATTTTTTAAAACTCATACTATCTACCCCCTAGGTTGTGGTAGATGTACAAAACCTGTGATATAACTCGTTGCGCCAATCTCGAAGCAGTAATAAGTTATCTATTTTTTTGTGATATAGTTCATTATGTTAGTCTCAAACCAACAATGAGTTATCAAACTTGTGTTATTTACCCCCTAGATTATGGTAAATATAAAAATCTATGATATAGCTTACTATGTTAGTCTCGAAGCTTTAGTAAATTATTTTTTTAAAACTCGTACTATCTACCCCATAGGTGGTGGTAGATGTACAAAGTCTGCATTATAATTCATTGTGTTAGTCTCGAAGTGACAATGAATTATCAAACTTGTGTTATTTACTCCCTAGGTTGTGGTAAATATGCAATAAATTGCGATATAACTCGTTGCATCAGTCTCGAAACGGCAATAAGTTATTTATTTTCAAAAATTGTATTATTCATCCCCTAGGTTTTGATAAATATGCAAAATATGTGATACAACTTACTATGTTAGTCTCGAAACGTTAGTAAGATATTTTCGACTCGTATTTTCTACCCCTAGGTTGTCGTAGATGTGTAAAATCTGCGATGCAACTTGTTGCGTTAGTCTCAAAGCATCAATAAGTTATATATTTTCAAAATCACGTTATTTACCCTCTAGGTTGTGGTAGATATGCAATATCTACGATATAACTTGTTGTGTTAGTCTCAAAGCAGCAATAAGTTATTTGTTTTCAAACTAGCGTTATTTACCCCTTAGGCTGTGGTAAATACACGGAATTTGCGATTACTTTTTCCAGGTGTTGACGAGTTATCCGAGTTGTCTTCCCTTGGTTACCTACGATATGTACGAGTTATATGTGTCATCATATCTAGGTCATATATGTGTATGCTCTAGGCATTGGTGAGTTATCTGCGTTATCCTTGCCCTTTTTACTTTTTGGTTCATTATACAGTTTATCCTTCAAAAGTTTTTGGTCAAAATTTGGGGTCTTCCATTATTTAATAACCCTCCGATCTGAATGTGCGAAAACTTCGTATACTCGCACGATCCAATCGAAGAGTAATTAAATAGGGGCAACTGTCATACTCCAAATTCGTCCGCCCTATTTCTACAGTCAAACTTATTTTTAACTTGGGCTTTATAAATTTTTTGATTTATTTATACGAACATTTCAATATTAATTTATTTTGTTTATTAAAAAATATATAATAGTTTACTTAAAATTATTTGTATTTTCTAAATAGCAAACACTCTCCCACTCTTCGTATACTTTCAAGCGGCATTTTATCACAAATAAATAAGTGAGCACAATTGGTAAAGAGGTAAGACTCGCAAGTAAAAGGTTATGGATGCGAATCTCACATGTTGCACTTTTTACATTTTTCTTTTATTTGTTACTAATTTTATTCCCATTTCAAATTATAATCATAAAAATCATGTTTTTTTTATTAAATTATTATTTTCGTATTTTTTAATTAAGAAATTTTCAAAAATAATTTTTTTTTCTTCACTTTTTTCAATTTTTAATTAGGAAATAGTCAAAAATCTAAAAATAAATAAAATATTTTTCAGTTTAAATATTTTTCAAATCGTATCTCGTACAAAGTCACAAATAGAATCAGATTCTTAGACTTGCTGACCAAGATAGAAATTTTTGGCCTTTTCATTGTTTTGGGTAATTTCCTTTTTTTGGTGTTTTAACCTAATTTCTAAGTCTATAAATAGGACTTGTATGTCCTAGTTTTTCATTAACAATTTCACCAACAATCACCCACGAATCCTACGATTTTACACGCGCACAATTATCAACAAATTTTTAATCTCTCTCTTACAAACTTTCTTCCTACTTTTGGTATATTCCATGATTTTTGTCTTGAATAGAAACCTTGTCGTTCTCTTTAACAACCAATGACCAACAAATAATCATAATTTCTTCAACTCATGCTTTTTTTCAAACTTTCTACGATTTTTAGCCGATGATTGCACATGAGGCCCCCTTTTATTTTTAAATTTATCTTTTTCTAATTTTAATTTATTTTTTTGTTTTAAAAAAGCAAATAATATTTGCTGATGGTTGTTTCTTTTTAGTTATAATTTTTCTTATTAACAATTTGTTCCATAGGGTGAAAATTCACATATTATGTTGCTATCTTCATTTTTTAACTTTGTAACAATTTCCACACCAACTATCGTACAGTAACACCATCTTTTTACTCTCTCTCACGATAATAAAAAGAAGCATCATAGTAGTACATAAAATTCTAGATATTTTTCTCATTGTTATATTCCATCACCATATTCATAATCCACATTCTATATTGATTCCAATTACCACACCATGGAAGTTCACCATTTTCTCATTACTAACAATTTCTATAACCTGTATGTTATCAAACTTTTTTCATGAATTTGTGAAAAAAACTCTTGCTGTGTTTGGTTTTACTTTTGCGGTAATCACTAATAATTATACCTTTTTGAAACCATGACTTTTTAAACCAATGTATCAAAATCATGACTTTGTTTTATCCCAAAATTCATCATTTAATCCCAAACAAACCCGTCAAACCTGTAAAATACAATCACAACAGCAATTTTCACTAAATAATACATTCATCTACATAAACAAAAGTGGATAAGGAAAATCTGGAAAATTTGTTCTCTTGTTGTTTTGTTCGGTTGTTCTACAGAAAAAAAAGTGAAGAGTTACAAACATCACGTCACATCATCCTTACCGATCGATTCCGCGCTTTTGCTACAGCCGCTCTCAACAACACCACAACGATATCGGCAGCCTTTTCGCGGCAAGACCACCGCCGCGCCTCCCGTCCCACCAGATTCACGATGCAACCCAACACAACTCCGACACTCTACCTCCAGCCATCCCCGACGACGGCGGACTTAGCTCCATTCACCTCCAATGAACCAACATCGCCGGCGGTCCCTCCAGATTCTGACGACCGCCTTTCCAGATCTACGTAGCTCAACCACCGCATTTTTGGACCGTCGTCCATCCTTAACACACGGACTACCATGCAACAGTTAAAACCGCATCTTCCTCCATCAGTCACCGCAGTAGATCTTCACCGCTGTGGGTTCCCTGGTCGTTCCATGTAGCCCCGATCCGTGCCGTTCAATCTCATCCTTCGCCACCGCCGCTTTCCGGTTAGTAATCCTTTTTTTGTTGTCAGTAATGTTTCAGGTGTTTAAATCGTTTCTTGTTCTGAGGATTCGTGAGAATGAAAGAAAGATTGAAGATGAAGAGTATAGAGAGAATATGTTTAATTTTTTCCTCTTTCCTTCGTTGTTATTGTTTTAATATGTATTATTGATTTTTATTTTTTTATTTTTTATTTTTAAACAAGCATTAGTGGCCTTACCTATTATATTTTGCTTGAATAAATAATTATGGTGGGGTGGACCGTGTCTACTAGATCCATGTGTTCTCATCCTAAATTATCTTGTTTTATTTTTTATTCAATTTTATTTTAGCATTTAGTTTTAATTCTTATTCTAAAATACAAAATAACAAAAATAATTAATTTTAACATTTTTATAAATAATAGGTGGTCGACTTAACGTTTACTAATTAATTATTCAAATCTAAAATATTAAAATTCACAAATAAGCTAAAGTTAAATTCCTCCTCCTAGAGCGATCGAATTCAAATAAAGATTAAATCCTAATCGACAAAGTCAAATTTATTTGCCTTGAGCGAATTAATTCGGATAAAGATCAAGATTCTTTATCAAGACTTAATCGAATCAATTACTTCGTCTAAAGCGACTTAATTTTGATGAAGACCTGGTCTTCTTTAACGATTCAAAAACCCTAATTAAAACAACTAACCAATTACAAACATTTTTTACTAACATAATAAAACTCAAGATTTTCATATAAATGATTAAATAGAATTACTTTCAAAATTAACTAAAAATTGCGTCTATGATCACTCTTTTACAAAATCCAGACAAGGTTAAAGGATAATTCGAAAGCAATTCTACGCAATCCTATAAAAAAAAATAACAACCAAACATACAAACTACGAATTTGGACTATGATTCTTCGCAAGGAGATACGTAGGCACGCTGTTAAAACTAAGGCGAGTGCTCCAACTAAAAAAACTAAACATTTTTTAAACATATGGAAATAACAATCTTTAATTAGAAATTCCCAGTTTACCCCAAAACCTTAAAATGGAGCCCCTTGAGAACAAAGGAGATAAAGGGTTCCTAACACCTCCTCTTCATCTAACTAACCCGTGAACTTAGAATCTCTAAAATAGTTAGGGTTACCTGTTATTTCCCCGTCCTTAGGACAAAATTTAATGGTGGCGACTCTCCTATTTTTTTTCTGGTTACGACAACTAGACAAGAATAGGAAAGCAATGGGAAGACTGTCGAAGTTTCTGTAGCCTCCTAAGGGTCTCAGCTGGATTCTTTTGTTTCATATCTAAGATTTCTTCTTGGCTAAGGGAGTTGTTGGAACTGGTATTCTCAAGAACGATGTCGACACGAGCCTGACTATTAGGTCCTTCATCACGAGAGATATTTTGGTCGAAGGACTCCTCAACCAGAGTTGCGAGAACATTGGTAGGTTGAGGATCATGGTTCCCAACACCATGGGTATCATCACAATGACCTGGTGAAGGAACCATCTCAGTCAAGATTTTTGCAATGATGTCATAAGTATGAGAGTTTAATGAAGAGGCCTCAGCAGAATGCCTAGGAGCATTAACGTCATCAATGGTCTTGGTTTTGGTGGAATTATCAGAGTCGGCGGATGTAACATGAATTGGTGCCTGAAGAAATAAAATACTTGTTAGTATAAAGAACTACTACGATAGAAAGAAATGAAGAAGGATAAAGAACCTCAGATGACGATGGAACACCTTTTTATGTCGGGGGTGGACTGACGGGAACTGAGTGTCGGGGAGGAGAAGTTTATTCCTGATCATTGGATATATGTTTTGGAATGGCTGGATCAGAGGTATTAGAAATCAGAGCATTAGTTTTGCTAGACGTCGAATGGGGAATTTTGGGAGTTATTGTCTTGAGAATGACCTTTTGGTTTTCCTGGTACCCTTGGGTTTTACAGGAGTGGAAGCCTTAGAGGAAGGAAAATTTTGAGTATGCCCATTGTCGATAGAACTTTCGTTGCCGACTGAAGGTTAGGGTGTTTCTTCAGAGACCTGAAGATCCCATAAATCAAAAAACAGTTGATAGCTGCTTATCAAAGAAGAAAGATTATCGTACCCGGGGTCGAAAGGCGGTGGAAATTCTTATTTTTTTGGTTGAATTGAGAGAAGCAGATTCGTCAGTCGAGAGCCGTTTCTGGAGAGCGACAAAGGAATTTTGAAATGAGGCAAGTGAACCTGAAAAGTGAGTGCACTTAAGTGCCTTGAAGATGGTCAAAAGGACTAAAAGTTACTATTTTTAATGGGGCCTTTTCGGCAGTTGTGGAAGATGATCGCATAACTCTATTAGCCTTAGTATCTAGGGCCGATATGGTAGTTTGGGTATTCTCAAAAGCATCGAAAGTTGTATCTAATTTCTGTAGGAAGAGAGGTGCAGAGAAATATTTCTTCAAGAATTTGGACCACCATTGATTGAATTCTTTTGTGGTAAAAAAAGAAGGTTAAAAGTGAAACACTGGTAGTTCAAAAATGTTCACTATGTTGTGGAACTTCGGGCACGACATATGCTCATCAACAAACAATTATCGACTAAACCATACAATGTCGGTGTAATGAGAGAAAAACACATAGGCAACATCTGACTAAGTCCAAATTGGCGAGCCACCAGTTGTGGTTCGTAGCTTATGAAACCATAAACATTCGACCCAATATCAATCCTGAAAGAAAGTAGGGTGGGGGTGAGGAAAGCTCTCCAAACTTCATTCGACGTTGCAGCGGTTTTTGATGAAACACCGGGGAAAGGATTTATGAACCAATCTGGGCCGACAGTACGGTCCACAAAAGGAGCCATGGGTGAAACAAAAACAGTAATACCAATAAACAAGTCAACATACCTCATGAAGGAAAGCCTGTTAAGCTCTTGTTTGGGGGTCATTGAGGACAATCTTAGACCCTTAATGGCTCGAGGATCTGTTAGACGTAGAGTGGTGGTAGTAGTAGGATAGCCTTGTTGGTGTTCAAAGGCGATATTCAGCCAATGTTGTAGCAGCCAAAAGGCACCTAAAAGAGCTAACCCTTTTTCAAGACTGGGGAGAGATTTTAGCCTGAATGAGGCATCACCCAAAGTATGGTATAAATAAGCCAGCAGAATTTTTCCCATTGATATCTTTCGACCTTCATAAATTTGAATGGCCAGAGAAACAAAGCCTTTGGCTACCTACAGAGATCCTGGACACAACAGGAAATAAGAGAGCCATAGGGTGAGGAAGGCGATGTGTTGTTCATCGGAAACCTCCTGATCATCACTGACATGGTGATCAGATATATAGTGTGTGAGGCTTTGGTGCTCGAAGTGGAAGGAGTTCTAAGTCGGGGAAGTAGGGTCAAAAGTTTCACCCAAAGGAGAGAGGCTAGTGATAGCATCCAAGTCAAACAAAGTTGGTGTCAACATTCCACAAGGGAATTAAAAAGTGTTGGTAGTACCTTCCCAGAAGAAAATTGACTATAGAATCAAATTGGGATTAATCCTGTGCGCATTTCTCGACAGCTGGATCGCGTTGAAAATACCATCATTTTTCCATTGTTGTTGTTTTTTGCGCTGAAATTTATCTAACAAAGCAATATAAATTTTGTTACCTGGAGTGGGCATCGACCGGAAAACCCTAGACCTGATAAATTTGGCATCGATTGGAGAATCATGATCGAAAGCTAAAGTTTTTGCTGGTGTATAGCAAGGAAAGTACTCTAGGACTTTCTTTGATGATTCCGTTGATCGGGGAGCGGGGCGTGGTATGCGTGGAGTTTTCCTGAAACAACAAATGGGATAAGCATTTGTTGCTTCCACCTTTTCACTTTATGTTCATCTGTAGATGGTGGTTGTGGAACTAACACCAAAGTTTCATCTTCAAGGAGAGTGAAGGCTATGGGATTTTATCGGTATTTATCACAAGAGCAGAAGATCCGGCCATTATGATAAGAAAGAGGACACGAGAAATGACGTTTTACTCAAAACAAGCAGTTGCAGAAAACGATTGATTGTCTTAACAGAAACTTCAGAGGAAATGGGTATGAAATAGAGGAAGGAGAAGAGAACAAAGTGAGATGAAGAAGAGTATTTATAGGCCTAAATAAGAGACAGACAATAGTGGATAAGTGGGGTTGATTTGAGAAAATTATGATTACCACTAAACACAGAAGGGGAAAAGTTAGTAGGGTTTGGTAAAATCTCATGTCTATAAACTATGAGCCATTATGAGAAATGATAGATTGGAATAGGGAATAGTGACACAGAAAGTGGTAATCATGGCATGTGACATCATTTGAAAAGACACGCGGTCGAAAATTCAAGAGTCGGAAACGCCAAAGTTCTTATCGACAAGATATCTGGCGAAATTGGGCCTTTGGGGGGAAATTTGTTGACAAGCAAATTTTTTACTCAGGTATTAGGCCACATGGGTGACAACCTTCGTCAATAAAGAGCATCAACAAGATTTATGGGCATGTTGACAGAATTCCAAGGATTACTCCTAGAAAGCGGTCGACAAGATAGTATCAGGCGCGAGGCAAAGTCGATGACAATTAGGCAAGTTGAGAGGGCGGTAAAAGCAGTTAACAACAAAGAGTATTGAAGCGAAACGTGGAAGTTTCAAAAGTAGTGTCACACGAACCAGTAATATGAGTGGCTCAAGTAACCGTCGATGATTACATATTTTATCTATTTAAGAAAATTTTATCATTTATTTTAGAGGTCGCATTTTGTAACATTGTAAGAGAGCACTCAAAGTACCAATTGTACCGCCCCGATATTTGATTATTTAATTAAATATTGTTTTGATTATTTTTATTTTTATTCGAATTTTTATCGTTGAAGTCGGAATTATTTTATTAAGTTGGAATAAT